CAAGCATGTTAGCGTTGTTTATTAAAGTGGTCAGAAGACTGTATGTTGTCAGTGTCTTCACCAGACAGAACCATTATGTCTGTGTATTCGAGGTCGATAAGTGAAATAAAAACGGGAAAATGGACGACATTGATGGACTCAACTTGAAGAAATGATTTCAAAGACAGTTTTCCATGATCTCTGACTTGGCCGGCAGTGTTCAAGTAAACAGCCTGTGCACGGTTAATGTACTTTTTAGCACGCCTTTCAATGATAGAAAGTGCCAATGTACCTCACAGTCGATGGAGTTGAACGCCACCTTAAGGTCAAGGAATGCAACTATAGTTGAACGTCTAAGTTCCAAAATCTCCCGACGGGTGGAGATTCGTCCTATACATCCGTCTTGTCGTGGCCTTTCTACATCCAGTATGACACAGGAAAATGCATGATCGAACCAGAGCATGTTCCGAGTTTGGAAATTTTCTCAAGATTTAGTGACAGCCACTTATTATGCTCCTCCAGAGATGGCTAATACCAATATAGTTTATTCGAGTCTATCAATGAGTCAGTTGTAAATGTCATCACGTTAGACGATGTTTCCCATGTTTAAGGTTAGTGTTTTCTAAACATAAATGTTTATAGTTTCAGTAGACGGTCGCCACTGTCTGTTCGCTAGGCCGCATCACAACAGAATTCGTTTAAGTCCCTTTCGGTTTGCTTTAGTTTACCTATATGAGCATTAAAACTACCCGCCACTATTAACGCACCAGGGCGTTTTACTTTCTGAGGGAGGTTGTATAGCTTCCTATGAAATTCATCTTCAACTTTGTCCGGGCTGCAGTCAACCTTGACGTGGAAAGAGAGGACGAAAAGGCCACAGTGTGTCCCTATCTTCTCAAGTTCTTGCTGTCTCGTCTGGTCGTAAAACACACAAGCGACGGTCTAATAGAATCCCGTTTAACAGAGCCTGTCCTGCTCTCGAACTTAATACTGTACCTACACCAGTGAGGCCACGGAAAGTAGCATTGAGATCCCCAAATGCATGAAGAGTGAATCGTGCTGGTTCTTCATATTAACAAGGTAAAGTCAAGTTAATAACCGTACTTGGGTCCTGTATGTGCGTATCAGGGCAACAAAATACATTGATAAAGTCCTAGCTAAAGAATCACACTATCCTATTTAACAAGGTTTGGACATCAAAAGCTCCAATATATAGTTTCGAGCTTGATTTCAGAAGACCAGGAATAAAGTTTCGTGGACTCAAATCGATAGTATTGATGGTGCGTGGTGATAAAGATATGCGAGAAGCGTTAGCCGCGTAAACGAAATAATCAGTGAGAGGTGAGGGACGAATTTGATTACCAACAAGATGATCTAGGGTGATGATAGAGGTATGAGGATGGTTGTCACTTCCCACTTGCTCACTTACTTACTTACGCCTGTTACTCCTCGTGAAGGAGCATAGGCCGCTCACCAGCATTCTCCATCCAACCCTGTCCTGGGCAATCTTTTCTAGCTCCGTCCAGTTGTAATTAATCGTTTTCATATCTGTTTCTATTATCCGACGCAATGTGTTCTTTGGCCTTCCTCTTCTTCGCTTCCCTTCAGGATTCCTAGTTAGGGCTTGCCTCGTGATGCAGTTTGATGATTTGCGTAATGTATGTCCTATCCATTTCCATCGTCTTTTCATAATTTCCTCTTCAGCTGGAAGTTGGTTTGTTCTCTCCCTGATTCCCAGTACTGCTAAGTTGTACCTCCTCATTTCCATTGCTATTTGACTGGTATTCCCGGTTTCCCACATTGTTCGAACGTTCCATGTACCTATAAAATTTTTTGCTCTGGTTGTTAGAGGGGGCATCGGCCTCGTGGCTTCCGAAGGAGCTCGGCTTTCACCATGAAGCGTCATAATTCTTCTAAATGAAGACCTTCTAACTCCCAGGGCAGAGTTAAAATGGTTTGGATTATTTTTTCTGGTAAGCGTTTTTTTAGCGAGTTAGTTTTCTACGGGATGGGGACTCTAACCCCATGCTCAACCCTCCTCCTTTACCCGGGCTTGAAACCGGCAGTAACCCTATAAGAGCTACAGGCGGAGTTGCTTGCCCACACTGTGGAGGAATATTGCTTCCTGAGGAACCTGAGGATGAAGCTCAATTAGCGGTGATCTTAGTGACCTGGGTACGTAACCGTCACTCCACTCTCCCATCAGAATCAAGAAGTTGGTTCAATACCAAATCGAGTGGGATTGTCGCGTGCCGGATGTTACTAAAGGAATAATAAAAATCCTCTGACTGCTGATAAGCTGAACGACACATCAGAAAGAAGCCGGAAGCAGCTAGTCGGGAAATACATGTAATAATTCCAAAATATCTGGTTAAACGCCTAAAACGTTTAAAATGATAGTCCATGCGAACATTATTTAAATATCAAGTGGGATTATAATGGTGAATAATTGTTTAGTAGGGAACTTCTAACAAATCAAATTAAGGTGCATACTAATAACCTTTGTTGAGTAGCTAAACTTATGACAGTACAAGTATTTTGTACTGAGAAATAGAAAAATATTCAGCGCTGTATCGTTGTTGATACTGGTGCTATTTTACTTCTAAGTTATAAAGTCAGTTATCGTTTATGCCAGTATGTTGTCCGTATGAGTTGATTTCCAATAACATCTACATTAGTAGGCTAACTGGAGGAACAAAAGTATAAATGCGTAGAGGAAGAATTCCAACTAGTGTCCCAGTTTGTTTGTTAAGTTCAATACGGTTTATTTAGTTGCATGAAGATTTTCCCGGCCTCATTATTGTTTACCCTGGTTATTAACCACACGATCTTTGAAGCTGAACATATAGTAACTGAGAAGATTCATTTGCAATATGTAACATTAAGAGAAGGTCAAGAATGGTAGATGCGCAAACATTCATGCGACCTGATGGCATGGCTAAGCCATCCAGACGTGGTCGTTCAGTATAACTTGATTTTATTCACATCAAATATATTATTTTATCTTCAACCTGAATTTGTAGACAGTGAGGGGATTTCCACGTAAGGTCTTATAGATTAGGTAGTCACATTATGACAACTGTATAATTTTAGGATTATGATGATGTCACAGGTATTCAGTGTTTGACAACGCTTCTACCAGTAACACCTTCTAATATATTTCGTTCCCACCCAGAGAAATCAAAAGACAGAGTCGAGGAGATCGGAAGAGTATATTTGGCGATGACCAATATACCGGAATTCTCTGATCTAATCTGGCCAGCGATTGCGGTTGATGTTGAGCACGGCGTTACCACACGTGATCTGGTGCGGATGCCTGACCGAGCGCCTTCAGCTAGGTGAGTCCACTAAAACATATGGTCAGCATCCAATGTCGAAAACTTAGTGCTATTTATTTTGGGGATTTATTTACCGCTACAATTAGATCTATCAATATAGCAGTATTAATAGCGAACTAGCCCATAATTCTAAAAGTCCAAGGAACAATTGCTTGAAGTTGGTCGTGAATGGTTTCTTACGGAGGGCTCTTGATGTATTAGCTCTGCACTTCGAAAGACCCTGCCACCGGAGAAGGGAATCTGCGAGGCCACGTGAGGCGTGACGTTTCTATGGGCAACCTTTTCTAACATCTTCTTTCCGTTATAAGGAGGCAGCGTCACGAAAAATGCTGATTGTTCTAGGGAAGCAACTTTCTGTTGTTACATTCCTACAGTACGTAGTACAACTTCGCCCTTGGACCTTAATTCAATGAGTTAGCCTTGTAGTTCTCCACCGCGGTTGGACGCTATGGAACATGTGTTCTAGCCAATATGGCTCAGTTAAATCATCACGATAGGAAAATTTGACCACCACGTCATGGTATTTACTGCGACCGGGCGAAATCCTTGCAGTCTTGTAGATCGCCAACTTAGATGATCTACGTCGAAATGATTAGACGTGAATGGTGTGACAAACTAGCTAACATCGAAGTCATACCTCGTGGTCAGCACCTTACGTGGACTACCCTATTGACGTACCAAGGTACGATTGATGCTTTGAAGACTGTACAACACAGAGGACGTTATTACAGAAATATATTAGTTAAAGCAGATACAAGCGAAAGTGAGACCGCTGCCGCATGGGTCAGTCCATGGCGTATGATTAAATGATGCGCAGTGGTTGTCCCTGACCGTGACGGGGATCGATGATTTGTTCGATATTCAATGACCAAACTGCCGGATGATTTAGCTAGGGCTTAGTGACATTTCTCTGGACCTACAGTCTGCTGAAAAGAACGTTTTGTCTCTCTGTTACTGTCAGGAAAACTACCGCTTCATGTGGTGATATTTTCGACATTCTTTAATGCTGTATGGATGGTAAAAATTCCAAACAAATAAGTACTGGAAAGCTATAAAGTATTACCCATATGGTCAGTTTGAATAATTTTTTATCGATACGTAATAAAGGAAGGGGAGTATTCTAGACAAAATTTTGGTGGACGCTTGCTTTAAATAAAGAGAAGGACCTGTAAGTGTTTGACCATCATGTCAAGGTGACCTAGAGTAAGAAGTCACAGGATAACATGTCTTTCCAGTGATACTAATTACCTTAAGTGGTAACATCATTCTATTTATCTCCACAGCAATATTCAGGCTGACGCCTGTTAGGCAATGAAATTAAATTGATTGTATCGATTTAGCACAATCCTATTCAGACTATCAGTAAATTAGTTTAATGTAAAAAGCAAACCGTGGATTGCTCGCTTTCATCCTGAACGGTGATTTAGACGTCGCGTGGTTATTTCATGACTCTGATGTAATCATGAAACTTAACTTCCTCACGTCTCTCGACTTACCCCTACTTCTTACGATTAACCTGGGCCGATCTTATTATTAGACACTCTTCACTAACGTCTGAAAAAAACTCGATGTCCTTTCTTAAGAATAAGGCTGAAGGCCTTAGAAGTAAGCTTGTTTGTCACAAAGATACCGAATACATTGGGAAATCAAAGCCCAACTATTTGGACCGTGAAAGCATTCAACGAAGAAGCGGCTTCCTTGACTTGTGCGCTACTTCGTCGTGATTAAGTGTACTAGTTTCTGCTTTAGATTTTTCTGGCAAGTATCCTAGTCTCTTGCATATCAGTTTTTTCTTCGTACATTTGACATACATATCGTTTTACCACCTGAGCCATTTAACTTGAAGTTCCAATACTAGAAAATATAATATTGAGTCTTCAGTAATAACGGTAGTAGGTCGATGAACCTGCATTAATCCTGACACACTGCTTTCCAGTGAAGGTCCAGCTTCTCGTTGAAAGTATTCACTGATGGGGCTGATACCACTTGTTCGGGTAAGGCGTTCCAATGATTGACTACTCGATGAGAAAAACGGGACCCCCAGAGTCTGTGATATCATCAACGTTATTCAGTCTTCAGTAATAAGGATAAGAGGTCTATCGACCTGTATTAATCCTTGCAGTTTGTAATACTGTGGAGGTCTAATCTCATCTTGAATACATCAACAGGTGTTGATATTACGTGTTCCGGTAGAGAATTCCTGTAATTTACTACTCGGTGCGAGAAACGTAACTCCAGACGTAAAAGATTTGATCTCGGGTGTTTGAACTCTCTTAAAATGCCCTATCAAATGACCAGTCCTAGACGGAAGTAAAAGATAAGACGTTAATACCAAGGTCATCGTTCAGTATACGATAAGCCAATATTAGATCAACCCGTATTCTACGGTAAGATAACGGAAATAAGTTAAGGTGTCTCAGTCTATCTTCATAATATAGGCCAAATAGACTTTTTACCATCTTAGCATCTCGTCGTTGGACTCTTTCCAGCATATCTGCTTCATACTTGATACAAGGACTCGCGGCTTGAATCCCATATTCCAAATGTAGTCGCACGTAAATCGGGTATAATAATCTAAACATTTCATCTAAATACTGGAAAGACCTACGAATAGACCATAACACCCTATAGCCTTTCGCAGCAGCAGCCTTACAGTGGCTAGTGGTTTTAAGACCATTGCTTAATATGACTCCTAAATCTTTATAGTTTCTTACTTTGGGTAGCACGAATCCACATATTGTGTAGTGATACGAATCATCATAGTTATTTAATTGCATCACCACACTCTTATCAGGATTTACTTCTAGTGACCACCTGTCCAACCATGACACCAATGAGCTAAGATCATCCTGTAATACTATTCTATCCGACATACTGTGTATGGGTATTTAAATTTTTATGTCATCAGCGAAGAGTAGAACGGATGATTTTGCTACAGTTAGCAGTTCATTTACATAAAGTAAAAAGAGAAGAAAACCGAGGGTTGTACCTTGGGGAACTCCGCTTTTTACGGGTACCCACGGGGAAAGAGCTCCATTAACCCTTACCCTTTGTTTCCTGTCATGGAGGGAGTTACTTATCCAATCTACGGCAGTTTAATGGATTCTTAAACGTTCCAGTTTGGATTTAAGACCAGAATGGGAGACCTTATCTAAGGCCTTATTTAGATCTATGAAAATCACATCCACAGGAGCATTCCGATCCTTTGCCGCAGCCCGATCTCGTGCAATGAGAAGATTTATCAAGCAAGATAGGCCTTTCCGAAAACCATGTTGTGCCCTGGAGAAAAGATTATGTCCTTCAACATAGTTTATAACAGATATCCGAATGATTTTCTCAATCAGTTTTACAATCGCACTAGTTAAACTAACGGGTCCATAGTTGCTAATTAAATCCCTACTCCGGACTTATTACCGCGTCTTTTCGGCCTTTGGGCAGTCCGGACTGCCTCATAGGCATGTCAGCCCTCAAATGCCCTGGTACGACCGAGAGGGCTGGGCCCGCCCTCCCTCTCAAAATGCTCTCACATGGCCACGCGTATACAGCCTCTGTCAGGGAAGTCCTACTCACTGCCTTCTCGTGGCGGGGGTTTTGTTTACGAAAATGAAGGGACGAAAAGCGAATGTCCGGCGCTTTAGCCGGATTCCAAACCAAAGGTACAAATAGGCTCCAGTATCCTTAGGAACGAATGACGTATGAACCAATTGTTGGCCACCGGTTACCATGGGACTGCATCTCCTCACGATGCTCCACTGCCTTGTGGATCAGACCTGTAGGTCGAAGGCTCCGAGTTTGACCCCCTAAGAAAACCACCTGCTTCGGTCTATGCACCCGGGCAGTATCACATCCTTCACACATATCAAATGTGATTTATGTGGCGCATATGTATTTGGTGCCTCCTTGTACCAATATTTATGTGCTCAAATAAATAAAATAATAATTGAAGTGTTAACGGTAAGTCCGTTACCATGAAATGACGATATTTACTGAAAATTCTACTCTCGCTTCGATTTACAGTCAAACAATTCACATTATTATTATTATTATTATTATTATTATTAATATTATTATTATTATTATTATTATTATTATTATTTACTACGTCACTCATTCACTCTCCTTTATTCCCACATTATGTGTCATTATTGTTCGACTTATACAACAGCTCGCTTATGGTATTATTTATTTATTTGGACACAAATATTGGTACAAGAGGGCACCAAATATATATGCGCCACACAAAACAACGAGAATTTGAAGAGAAGGAAAAAAGGTAGGGAGCGTAAAAAAAAGAGAACAATAACGAAGAGATTGATGTAAGGTAGTGTTATAATAATAATAGTAATAATGAGGGAACGGAAAGGTACAACCAGAAGAAATCTTTCAGTTAAGGAAGATACAACCACTTTTTACGAAGAAAGTAAAAGAAGGTTACAGCAGGATCGCCACTGGCTTCTATTCTGAGCCATATCTGATAACGTCTCTAGCCAGTGTTGCACCATCTCCAGGACCCCAGCCAGGGAGTCGTGAAGGACCAACAGAAGCCAGCCCTTTGCAGCTTTCTTTCATACCATGACATCATGTCATACACTGACCACCTCCGCTCTTTCCAACCAGTCCCAGAGTCGGCAAATAATGCACGACGTGGAATTCTCTGGGACGACATTCGTAGAACATGTCCAAGCCACCGAAGTCGATGTTTCAAGATGCTGACACCAATTGGATTATCGTCTCTGCGCCCGAACACACGATGCCGAACCTCTGCATTACTGACATGGTGTTGCCACTGGATGACAGCAATCCTCCGGAGACAACGATGATCAAACACAGAGAGTCGTCTAACATCCTCAACTCAGAGAGGCCAGGTTTCACAAGCATAGAGCAAAACTGCTCTCACCGACGCGTTGTAGACCCGACCTTTTACAGCCAGACTAACATCATGAAGGCGCCAAATATGGCCCAGATTGGCATAAGCCACTCTGGCTTTCACTATACGTCCATTGATCTCATCGCTCACACCACCACCAGCACTTATGCAGCTACCTAGATACACGAACTTCTCGAATACTTCTGTCTGCTCACCATCCAGGGTGAGTGCAGGATTAGGATTCTGCCAGTCTTGTAGAAGTACTTTGCACTTCGAAGGTGCAAAGCACATACCATACATACGGACACTGATTGCCAACTGATTAAGTGCAGATTGCATGCCTTGGGCACTATCGCACAGTAAGACAATATCATCCGCATACTCAAGGTCGAGAAGTCTTTCTCCAGGCAACAGATCCACACCGGCATTACTTACATTCATCAGAGCTGTTTCCAGAATGTCGTCGATGGCAAAGTTGAAGAGGAATGGTGAGATTGGGCAACCCTGTCTAACCCCACTGCTCGAATGGAGCAGTAGGGAGGGGTGGTTGTATGCCCTCACTCTGCCTGAGGTGTTTGTATATAGGGCTTTTAGGATGGTAATAAACTTCTCAGGCACACCCTTCTTCAATAGACAATCCCAGAGAACAGTTCTGTGTGGCAAGCCCATTTGGCCACTGTATCATTTGTCTATTCATTGTAACTCAGACACTTAATTCATCATGTTAATTTCTGTGTGCATTTCAGACTCTTAATTCACTATGTTAATTTCGGTGTGTATGATTGAATGCATGTCTGTACATTAACCCTTAAGCTATCCTCCTATTGGTTGCAATGTGCAGATAATCGATAATTTATCCACACTAGATTAACCCTCAAAAATATATATGGATTTTTAACACACACACACTCACTCACTTTGTTTCATCGTGTGCTTGCTCGCTGTACGCTTGTGGATTTTTATTAATCATTAACAATAAATTATCTCTACAACTGGTGTTCAGGCTTCTCAATAATCTCGAGTAAATCCGTAATTCTACTAGGAGATTAAGCCTACCTTAAATACTCAGTTTACGGGATATTATTTATTGGAGTCAGATATAGAGGACATTAGCCTCAACATATTGGTTAGCCGCCGTTTCAACATATTGGTGACCCGCCTTTAGAACGCGCACCATTTTCCTACAAAGTCCGCTGAATTCTCCTCAAGCGTATCATAAAGAACTTCACATTGGAATTACTATTACAATTATTAACAATTCATTAACAGTCACAATAAATCCATCCATAACATTGTTCCTTTGGAATTATTGCTGTATATTCGCATATTTAAACCAAAAGTGACAGTTTTTCTTTTTGGTGAGTCTTATATATATTTCTTGTTGTTATTTTTGATTTCTCTTCATATTGTATATTACAATCCTCGGCTTATTATTACTATTGCTTTTTCGTATCATGGCACTTGATAATTCGTTAAGCCTTTCATCTAAATCTATTTCCGTGGGTGCCATCTCTGTACCTTTACCTACTTTTAATCCACGAAAGGCTGAACTCTGGTTTGCTCGCTTAGAAAGCTTTTTTGTTGCAAACAAAATCACAAATCAGAGTACGAAATTTAGTTACGCAAACTCACTGCTGCCGGACGACGTCATTGAACAAGTGCCTGATATCATTTTTAAGCCGGATCCTGACTCATCATTCCATCCGGCTTAAAAATGATATCAGGCACTTGTTCAATGACGTCGTCCGGCAGCAGTGAGTTTGCGTAACTAAATTTCGTACTCTGATTTGTGATTTTGTTTGCAACAAAAAAGCTTTCTAAGCGAGCAAACCAGGGTTCAGCCTTTCGTGGATTAAAAATAGGTAAAGGTACAGAGATGGCACCCACGGAA